ATCATTTTCGGCTATTTCACACACAAGTTGGGAATTTTTAGCATTTAGGTTGGGGCGTAAGAGAATTTGTTGTCATTCTGAAGTAACTGAGTTTTGGGTGTGAACAGTTGTGCAGCTCAAATTTATTCAGTCATGATACTGTGTGGTGGTAATAAAAAATAATCACAACCCAAGAAGTAATAAATCAAAAAGTTGTTTCTTCATTTCATATGTTCTGATTTAACTTTTTATAATTGCAGGTATGCGCACTACATATTTTACAGATTAGGAAGCATTTCTAAAAATAAATATTGCTGGTAGTTGGGTAAAATATAAAATGATGAAGCCGTTAAAAGCATTCAAAATAAACAATAAAAGCTTTTTCAAGACATGTTACGTTTTGTCGGTGACACAGTGGCGGATTGGGAGGAGGGAATAAGAACGAAAAATTTTTTACGCCTAAGCGTAGTAGACACTTTATTTCATTAATATTATAAATTGTTTATGAATGAACTATATTTTTATAAATCATATGCTTTGAGAAAAATGCACCGTAGCAATTTGAAAATTTCAAAATTACATTTCTCAACTGAAAAATTAAATATTGGAGCTACCTCGACAGCACACAGTGTGCTTTTCTTAACACTCAATGCGAATTAATCGTAGCGCTTTCGACAACAGCAATATTTTGATATGAAACAAAATAACTTTGAAAGCTAAAGGCACACAATTACCGCTTGAACTTTAAGAAATTTGTCAAAAATAGTGTTCTTCGAAAAAAACTTGCAAAATCTGACGGATATATTCCAAAAACAAAAAAAAAACATTTTTTGTATTTTTTATTATACTAATATTATAGATTTTGAGACGAGAAGCCGGATTCCACTGTTTAAAAAACGAAAAAAAATTTCAACCCCACAGTTTGAAAAATGCTTTATATATTGCATTTTTTATGATTTGTATGCAGCTGTGCAGCCTTCACACAATTTATATTCCTCGAACAACAAGTGAGTTTTAGTGCTATTCAAGACCTTTAATTTAAGTCAAGGTATGTATATGTCTCTAGGCCCTGCCAGCGGAGCCGTTGTATTTTAATTTGTTGCACTATGTCCATGTCATTATAAAGCTCATACAGCTCATCGTTCCATCGTCTGCGGTACTCGCCGTCGCCAACGCGTAAAGGCCCGTAAATCTTCCGCAAAATCTTTCTCTCGAATACTCCAAGAGCCGCCTAATCGGATGTTGTCATTGTCCATGCTTCTGCGCCATATATCAGCTCGGGCATGATGAGTGACTTATAGAGTGTGGTTTTCCTACGTCGAGAGGGGACTTTACTCTCGAATTGCCTGCTCAGTCCAAAGTACAACTTGTTGGCAAGAGTGATTCTGCGTTGGATTTCAATGCAGACATTATTATCGGTGTTATTTGCTGGTGTTAATGCTGGGTCACAAGTAAACGAAATTCTCTACTTTCTCGAAATTGTAACTATCAACAGTGACGTGGGTGCCAAGGCGCGAATGTGCTGACTGTTTGTTTGATGACAGGAAATACTTCGCGTCTTGTCTTCGTTTACCACCAGGCCCATTCGCTTTGCTTCCTTATCTAACTTGGAAAAGGCAGAACAGACTTCGCGGTTCTTGTTACGGATGATGTCGATAGTGTTTAACTATACAACGAACTATTTAAAACCGTAAGCAGAAGACATAATTAGCAGAAAGCTCTGGTGCAAATAAGTAGTAGCTAATTTGGGCTGCGTACTCGTCATACCACCCGTCGCAGTGACTAAAATTCAAATAACTCATTCGGATTAAAGTGTTTTTCAAATTCTTTTTCTAGGCATTGTGTATATTTCGGAAACCTTTTAGAAAACACTTTTTTGACTTGATCACACAGTTACCACTTGTTAAAAAAAAAACCAACCAAAGTCTGGAAAAAAAACATCCAACCTTTAAATATAAAGTGAGCTTTAAAGTTAAAGGTTACTTCAGAAAACGGCCCTAAAAGTAATTGGTATTTTTTTGTGCACTAGTTTGATCGTGCGCTAACCTTACATGTGTAAGTGCAAACACCTTTTGTGAATTCATCAAAATAGCTTTATGTAGCTTTATTAGTGTTTGCATTTACTCAAAGCTATCAATTTTATCTTCAATTTAAAAATACATATGACACTGCTCAACTTGACTGTTCAAATTGCAGGATAAACAAAGACCAAAAGCATATTGTAACCAACCAACTCGTTACATTTTTATATTTTTTATTTTTTATCATTTACCTTTTGTGCATTTTCGTTTTCATTACACCTGAATCATGCGCTAAACCGGTGGGAGTGATGCAGATGACAGCGGTTTTGTAATTGAAAAAATGGAAACTTATCCGCAAATAGAAAATCGTATAAATAGAAAAAAATATCAATAACATTTTGCGCTTACAATAAATCACGAGGGCATTCGATTGACGGATCAAGTACTTATGTATGTACATACATACATATGGCATGCTTAAGCACTTGTATGCACCAGTTAGTGGACATAAATACTTATGTTTGTAGATATATGTACATAACTGTATATACTAATTATGTATACCAGAACAAAGTTACCTGAAAAATACAAATGAATAGTAATAAGCTGATAGTTTAAAAAACTGAAAACTCGCTTTAATTACAATTTGAACTAAAAAGAAAAAAAATGATTTATAGAAATACAGGAATAGGAAGTTCCCTAACTTGATTTAATTAAACTTTAAAAACCAACACACACAAGCAAACAAGTGTGCGACTATGTTGATTTCACTTTTCTATCATTTCCATTATCATTTTTATTTTACTGTGACAATACAAATTTTGTCGATATGTTGCTGCAAAAGTTGGCAATAGTTAGAATATAGTTTACGAGCATGAAACCGCATAGATTTTTCAATTTCGCTTGCACTCATCGATGTTGACATTCGTGATTGTTTGTCATCTATGGAAGCGCTTGCCAATAAGCGTGATAAATCTAAAATGGTATCTACATATTTGTCATTGCAAATACGTATTTTCAAATAACTATCAGCGTGCATCGCAGAGTTCTTCATAGTTTTTTGAAGTGAAAGTTCTTAGGCGGCGGTATCGCAAAAATGGGGGGGGGGGGGGGGTGAAATTTTTAAAACTGAAAATGTTACATGAGTAAGAAGGATGATATAGTATAGATAAGGGAAAAACAGGTGCGTGTAACACCGTACACATGATAAAAGTGAAGCTTTTTAAAAAAGGTGTGAGTAACAAGTACTCACGAAATTCGATGTGTAAACATATGTGTGCGGCACGTCCAACCATTAGGTGATTTCATTTCTTTAATTTATAGAGTCAGAAACAATCAGCACGAATCGGAATATATTTATAAGAAAAGCCTATAACGAAGGGGCAATTACATTGTAAAAGAAAAGTAATAACAAGTTATGCTTCTGATATTTCGGGCCCCTTAAAAAGGTCGAACCAGGAGGGATTCACCACTTCGCACAAAGCTTATTCTAAAAAATCATCTCTGATAGGCGCAATCTTGTATTCTATCATTCTTGGCTCAGACTGTGCTACGCGGGCGTATGAGTAACTTTATGAAGTGGTTGGAAATGTTAATATTAATAAAAAATTGAAACACCTTTTAATCATGCTGTTGGAGTGGTTTTCTTTCGGTGTGTCCAGGGTTGGATCACTATATATATATGTATATATATATATATATATATATATGAGTCCATAGTGGATCTACTAGGTCCAAACCGACACTGGCTAGCAAACCTTCAGCTCCATTCAATAGGGTGGAAGAAGGTTCCCTCCATAATTTCAGCGTGCTCTGGATTCGGTACGTAGGTCGCCATCGGTCAGCATTTCAAGTTGTTTGCGCTCACGTATTCCGGCCTCCCTCTATTTATTACGTAAAATACATCTTGCTTTCCTCTTCACCTCTTCAACTCCGTATTATTATTATTATGGGCCATAAGCACCTCGACCTCTAAGGTGGTCTATTTTGCGTGGCAATTTACTCTTTCGTGCGCATTTAATTCCATATTTCGATGGATTTTTTTTTAGAAGCATTCTCTGCCACAAATCCTTATCGCATGAATCTCAGATTGGTAAATGGTGGAGTAGCTGGCCATTAATGGATAACCCTTTGCTGTCACACCATCTTTGTGTAGTGCGCAGGGCTTGATGCATGCTCCTGCATATCATTTCGTCATGCAGCCCTGTTACGCAAATCACCAGATCGTCTGAAGAATAGGATTCCGTCTATAACCCTTGTCCCTTGCGTAAAAGGGTTCGCTTATTGTTCTTAGACTCACGAGGCTTTTCAATTTTCGGCGAAAGTTTATGAATGGCAGTTTCAGTGAATTCGCCTCGTTGATGTGTTGACTTCTCTGATCTGCTGTTCCAAGATTTTCTGCATGCATTTTAGGGGAAAGAAACTGATAGAAATTGGCCTGTAGGATGAAGGCATCTGCTCAGGCTTATCTGCGTTCAGTGAAAATATGACCTAAGCCTCTATCCATCTACTGGAAATATGGCACGAATTCTTATATTGATCGGTTCCACACAGTTCGCATTGTACCAAGATTTTATTCAGAGAAAGACCTGGTGTCGCTTGTTTTTTTTTTTACAAAAATTGTTCAGCCTTTTTCCAGCGCAAAAATTTTAAACAATTACAACCTTACACTGCCGTTTTCCATCCATGAAATCGCTTGCGGGCAGAGTCGCACAAAATGTTGTTATTGTATTCCAATTACATGACCCACAACAATCTCAATCAATTTATTCTCTAGCCAAAAACCATACATTGACTGTTTTTCAATTAATTTTATTGCCTAGCTATCTTATCAACAATATCAGTAGAAAAAAAAAGTTATTGAAACTTATCAGTACAATTTTTACTTAATTATTATTTTGGTTTATTTTTACCAACATCTATGTATGTATATATTGGCACATAATTGTTATCATAGGGAGTCGCAAAACACTTACATACATGCATTTACATACATACATACATACATATAAGCGCATCCAATAACAAAAATAAATAAAAATTAACAATGCATGGTTTGCTGTGCACACCATCTCGGTATGAATCATTCACTGGCAGCGCAGCCAATTTCGCATAGCGCACACCACCACCTACTTCACATTTTTCCCCGAATATTTTAATTTTTTAACGAGTGGTCGTCTCAATAAAATCCCTCACACTGCATGTACATCCGCCACTGCTGCCATGCAGCACAACCTACAATGTGAGTGTCGCTATGACCCACCCGCGCGCTGACATACCCCTTGCCCGGTTCACAGGTCAGCAGCAGCGGCTCTGCATCTGCCTGCTGGCATATGTAAAACTTATTCGGATCCACGGCCGCCCAAGTCTGTCGTAAATGGTCTTCGTCCCTGCAAACCTGCGCTGTGCTATTTCCAAGCTCACTCCGGTTACTGCTGCTACCGCCATTGTCCATGCAAGCCGGCCACTCGTCGTACGGTATGCAACCGTAGTAGCCGCGTCCGTTGAAAAAGCCACGTCCCGCCGGGCACTGCAATTTGCGCGTTGTGTTGTTGGCTTCATCGCACATATAGAATACATTGGGGTCGACATCGCCCCACATGTGGGACGTGCGATTCGTATGGTTGCAGTATTGCACATAATTCGAGTTTGTTGCATTTTGACCCGTCGAAATGAGAGCCTTTTCGTAAAATAGCGCAATCACCATGAACGATAGGGGGACCATGCGCCATTTCATTTTACATACATATGTTGTATTGTATTGTTTTTGTTCTTGTTTGTGCTTCCACCTTTCACATACCGTTTTTCGAGTGAGCACACGCACTTACATACATACGTATTCTAGGCTCTCAGTTGCTCATAACTTTATTTATATGGATACACTGGCAATCAATGCTCGTATCGTCACAAGTGGTTAATAAATTTATGGTCGTTTACACGCGCGCTATCACAAATTAACTGATTGATATTGGTCGTTGTCACTTATTTTATAGAAATTACTTCATATTTTCCAACACGACATATTTAGTTGGCTGTGGTAGAGACAATGGCAGTGGCAGTGGCAATGCTGACAACATCAGTATTATTTATATGATTGTAAATTTACGACGAGCGACGTTTGTTATCGCCGAATTGGCAGGTAAGTCAACTATCAGCAGTGGCAACTATCGGTATTTTATCTATGTACGTACATTAGGCTGTCGCATAACATAAAAGTAGAATTTTTGTGAGAAATTCGATACGCATATCCTCTAATGTTTTCCTTTTGGCGTACATAAATAACGTAAGTATATGGACCAAAAATTCGCCAAGTCATTTTTCCACGCCGAATGCAAATTATTTGTCATTGGAAATCTTAGGAAATAAGCGAACGAAATATAAATGGTACATTGTTTAAAGAACGCAATATAATTTGTTTTATTGCAAAAAAAAATTAAAAAAAATTATATTTTCCACCAAAAAGTCACGGAAAAGGTTGTGATAGTTCAGAAACTTTGCAATACTCCATCATAAGTTTGACATGAAATAAGAATTGTAAGAAAAAACTGCCGTAGAAAAAAATTCCTTTATACATTCCTTGCCATAGCAACAAATACATTTTTTTCTTGGAACAAATTTTTAAACACCCTCCACAAGAAAAATTATATAAAATCAACGGTAATTTCCAGCGACTTGAAACTTGCACTTTCTTTTACTAAAATTGAACGTGCTACAAAAATTTGGAAATTTTGATGAAAATGGTTTGAATTTTTGTGAACTTTATATAAAATTCGAAATTATGATTTATATGGTTTATGTTGTAAAATATAGAGATAGAGAACTATATTTTCGCAATAAATTAATTTAAGAAATTTTGCATGAAAATAATTGTAAATTTTATATTACAGCAAGGTGTACACTTACATTTGGCACCGACTGTATGTTTGTACATACATATCTATACATATTGGGTATTTTGGGGTAGAGTCTGAAAATGTAAAAGTCTCAGCTGTTGCAGTTCTGCGACCTTAATTGGGTTTGTCGATGCAGCTGAAGGACTTAGTCTGCAATGAGAGCTGGTTGGACTCCGATGACCGCATTCACGGCTCCCGCCCCGTAACAATTATAGCTGTCCCTCAGTGAATGTTTTATAAGGTCTGTGCAGAGTTGGGTCCATTGGCTGTGCGATGTAAATCTGAAGCTAATTCGTCGTGAGTTTCGTAGAGAGCCTTGAAGGTGGCTTTGCTTACAGTAAGTGCTTGTACGGATGTTTCGTGTCCTAAGCCGAATTACTTGCTGAGAATAATAATAAAAATAATAGTTAATATGTTAGTGCGGCGTGCGCCTTGATATTGTCACACAAAGGTTCTGTAGATCCTGTAGGTCCCAGGCGATTGCATTTTTATGAGAAGCTGATTTCAGATCTTTCACTTCGAACGTTTTAAATCTAATGTGGGCATTTTGCTCATCGAACTACCCAAACAACATAGCACAAACTTTTTAAGTGTAAATCTGCGCCAACTGTACTGTGATGTCTCTACTTTGTAGTAAGATAAAATCAATATGAAATGCAAAACTGATAACGGTAAAACTGCGCAATATGTATTGCTCATAGGTATTTTTTTTTTTTTTTGCTTTTACAACTTGTGTAACCTGTTGTTCTGCTTCTCGAACCGTGTCCAAGTGAAAATTAATGATTTTCTCTTTTCTTATCGTATTCACGTTTTTTATTCAGCAGAGTTATCCATTTTCTCCTTGGAAAAGAAAACTTAAACATAAACTTGGTGAGTATTTAAATTTTCGAAAGAATTTTAATTTCATAATAAAGTTTGGCCTATACCATTGTATATGAAAAACAATATTAAACTGTCTTCGCTGGACCATAATCCTTTTGAAGTAAAATTCGATTAATACTTCACACTAGGGCTGTGCGATTATTCGATTACTCGAGCAAGTTGGCTAATCAATTATTCGGTTAATCAATTACTCTAGTAATCAAGATTTTGATTTTTTGAAATATGATTACTCAAAAAAAATAATTTTGCTCGTTAAAAGAGTTTGCTTTGGAAAATGCTTATTTTCTTTTTTACATTCTGTATATGAAAAAAAATTTTCGTTTTAATTTTTGAAAACGTTGTTTTCGAAGTATCAAGGAACTTTAAATACTTTATACATATGGAAAGAGTTGAAATGTTGATTACTCATTTTACTCGAAATGTTGATTAATCATAAAGCCACTTACTCAAATTTTTTTTTTTTTTGGTTAATCAAAAATCTTGATTACTCGAGTAACTGAACTTTTGAGTAATCATAATTTCCAATTAATCGAATAATTGAGTTATTTACTTTATGATTAATTAAAATTTTGAGTAATCAATTAATCGCACAGCCCTACTTCACACAATTTTGGCAATAACTCGGTCTTAGCTTGACACATCTTGTACGGCAGTTGTTCTAAAATTGTCTTCCGTATAGCCCCATAAAAAGTATTGCCAAGGCATTATAAGACATAATCTTGACAACCACCATCTAGATAGCCATAGCCCAGCCATATCGCTGACTTTCGTTACTCGTTGTGGAAATTTCGTTCGCAATAGAATCACAGCTGGCACTGAAGATTATTAATCAAAGCGGTATATGCATACATATTACAATATGGATGTCAAACGAAACAGATTTAGGAAGAGGCTATCAATTCATTGGAATATTTTTTTCTATGTATGTTACCAGATAACTTTAGACAACGCCACAACTGCTTTCGAACGATGATACCGCAAGGGCGGTCACATATTAATTTGATTTAGTTCCGATCATTGGATCATAAAGAAACTAACGGCATTCCTAAAATTGTATATGGGCATTGAAGTGAAGGTGGTACACCTTTTTGAAAATCCCGCTGCCTTCGCGGTCGCAATTCCCCAGCGAGCAAAGCACTGGTATATCATTCGAGAGATTGGAAATTCGATTTCTCGGACAGCAGATTTTTTTTTCTATTTTTAGTTTAAGTTTTTTTCTTTTCTAATTTTTTTGTTCTTGATGACGATTTTTTAATGAAAAGTATGGTGGAAAAACTAACAATAATTTATAAATGGTAGAAGTGATAGCTATTTCGGAGATCGCCACGCCTCATGATCAGACTTCTTCAGTGGGATTCGAACCGACGACCCCAGCTGACTTAGCCATTTGCCTACGCACTGTGCTAAATTCGCCCTATAAACTGTTGTTGCTTTTCCTTCTTGTTGCTTTTAGAAAATAATTTTATGTTTTTTATCTTTTTCTGACTTAGTTTTCTTTTTAAATAAATTTTTATTTTACTTTTTAGACTTTATTTTATTAAAGAGAAAAATATTTTTTTTTTAATGTAATTTAATATTTAGAAATCTTATTGCTAAAAGACAGACAGTATAACGGCTAAGGCCCCCCCAATAGCAAATTTGTCTTACCAAAGAATTTTGAGTTGAGCTGAAAAACAGTTGCCGGAATTTCCCTGTTAATCAATAAGGTAAATTAAATACAAATTACAATATGTATGTCAAAGGAAACTGGTTTAACAAAACTGTAATCCGAAATTATTTCTTAAGATGGTAGCCACCAGTTAATAAGCCAAGGCACAATTTAGAAAAGGAACGTTAATTAAAAGAATATTTTGACCTAGCAATACGCTTTTGTCCAAGGATTTTTATCCAAATCTTCTCCAATAAAACATTATATCAGTGTACATTTTTTTTTTAATTCTATTGCACGTTTGCTGCCGACGGAGATTTATTAAAATTGTAGTTTTTGAATGCACCCAAATTACAAATTCCGATTTTAATCCTGAAACTTCCCCCTCATCGCGAACTTTTTTCTTATTTGGCTGCATTTCGCGACGCCCCACTAGATATGTGTTTATACAACACAAAACCATTGTTTCAACTTTACCCTTTTGACCAACTTAATTGGCGCATTTTTGTAACACGGGATTAAAAGCTAAGCCCTCAAATTAAGTGCACATATTCAACGTGCGGCACACTAACCGCGCAGTCATACCATACATACTATATACGGGTATATACTTATATACATATATAAACGTGTACTGAGGAGAGTGTAAGCATGCACACAAGTGGTTAACGCAATTTTAGTGCGTGTGGCAGCAAAGGCAAATCCTTTTGTCAGTATTTTCGCCAGGCAATTTGAAAGGTGGCCAGAAATGCCAAAATGCCAAAAAAGCTAAACCAATCTGATATGTTCTAACGTTTTGACAAGTGCTACCGAATGTTGAGCTTACAATTTTGGTGTTGTGTACTAGTACAGATGCCAATTGGACAATCGAAGATTGCTGGGCGCTAAAGCCCATCAGCCTGCGTTGATTGCTAGTCGGATGCCGGTAGTTGATTGTTGAATGCTTTGTTGTTGCGGCTACTGCAAAGGCAGTGAAATTCAAGTCCAGCCTATGTATGTAACAATGATGGCTAGTGTATTGGTGTTGGTGTTGTAAGTTATTCAATTGCTGGCATACATATGTTTATATACATTAGACCGCACCAAATAACAAGCAAACGAAAAAAAGTTCGTCGTACACCCTTGAGTCTAAAGAATTTTTGCAAGGCAATTTCGAAAAACAAAAATTTACCGGAACCATGATTTTTCGGTTACACCTAAAGTGACTTACAAAAGTGTTCACGTGTTGATTTATTTTAATATAAACAACGTTTTTCAAATTATTTTTTTTTTTTTGTTAAATTTCTATATAAAATATTGTCCGTGCTTTAGATTATATGAATCTGAGATTCAAACTTAGAAAAAAATTTAGGAAAATTCATCAAAAAATTTAAAAAAATCACACATACACACATCATAATTCTCTATGAAAAGTAATATTTTTAAAAATTTTTTTCTTAACAATTTTTTTACACATAAATCTTTTGATAAAAAAATTAGTTTTTGAAAATATGTCACCTCAAAAAAAAATTTAAAAAAATCACAATTGTAGCTCTGAGTATTGCGCAATATTTAAGTATAGTATTATGGGGTGCACTCTACAATAATTTGAGTCATGAATTTGTTTTTACACCGAAGTTGAGTGAAATGAGTATATTACAAACTAACAAATTTTTTAATTTTTTTGACTGATTTTTTCCATTTTTTTTTTTGATGACATATTTTCAATAACTATTTTTTTATCAAAACATTTTCATGTTAAAAATTTTTGAAGAAAAAAAATTCAAAAAAAATTATTTTCATAGAGAATTTTGATGTGTGTTGTGTGATTTTTTTCAAATTTTTTTCCTCGCCCCGTTCTCGACATATTTGGAAAATTATATAGAATTGTTTTTGTTTTCATGCTCAAATTTCATGTTTATTTATTATTAAAAATTTGAAATAAATCAAACACATAAAGTGTGAACCCCGTCCGTTTTGGTATGGAATGTCCCATATATGTACATATGATGTTTGTATTTGTGTTTATTTTTTTTTATTTGGTATATGTGCGCATTGTCGAGACGAATTGACTTACACACATACATACATATGTCTAGGCCGGGTTAAATTCCGGAAAATCCGATTTGTTTATGTTAACATTTGTTAGAGCTGTTAGTTTTGTTAGTGCGTTGTTGACGTTTCCGCCACTTTCATGGGCTAACAATTGTACGATCATACATTTCCGAATTTGCTTGGCGAATTTTTGAACTCTCAAATGTATTTCGTTGTGAAACTTTTTGTGGGAAAACAAAAAAAAAGCGGAAGCAATTGAAGTACATATTGCTGAAATAACTGTTTATGCCGGTAGGAAGCCAGCGCTCAATGAACCCAATTTGCGTTAATTCAATGTATTTTTGGCAAAAAAAAAAAAATTAAAACGAGACAGCTACCAGTAAGCGAGTTGTTTCCTGTATACAGATCTATCGCATGCGGTACAAATACACATACATAATGAGTTTCCAGGTTCGGTTCAGTTCAAGTGGTTCAACAAATCCATAATAGCAAAGTTAACAGCTTTGTTATTGAGATCAAATTTAAATATCCCCATACATAAATAGTGGTGGAAAAAATAGGGATAGGATACTTTATAAAGTATTAGCAATTTTTTTTTTTCTTTATTTAATGCTTATTTTTTAACCATATCAACCCAATTTTCAAACATTGTGCAAAAATTAAGAATATTCTTCATAGTTTCATCTAAATTGCAAACTTTTTAATGATAATTTCTAAAAAACATTTTTAAGTCTCAACCAGTCCTTACAAATTATGTATGTTGGACAATTTTTTGGCTATGGAAGAAAACGAAAAAAAATTTTAAATCAATGCGATCAATGTGATATTAGAAAAATTTTAATCAACTTTTTAAGGTTTGCACAAGTGGTGAGCCTAGTCGAGTATGTAGATTAAAATAGCATACTCCGAATTTTAAATTGACCCTAAAAATTGTGGCTTAATGTTGAAAACCACATTTTCGGTTGGCTTGAGCTCACACTTGGCCGAGTGGCATATTTCATTTTCAAACCCATTTCGATCGATACCAATTTTTTAATAATTCATCCAACTTATTGAATAAATTGAATCTAACTTTTCCAACAGGTGACAGCCCTCTTCAAAAGTGTTTTCAAATTTAATCTTTGTTAACTCTCATTCGTCGGACATTGCGATACATACTTTAATTAACTGATGAATTAAGTAGAATTTGATGTTTCAAACTAAATATGGCTCAGAAATGAAAAACTGTCAAACCCCCTTCGATTGATACCCATATTTTAATAATTCATTTAATTTTTTAAACAGGGGGTAACCCTCGTCCAACACCTCAAAAATATTATTTGCGTTCAAACTGAAGATTTTTTATTACTCCTTCGTTTGACATCCATATTTTAATATTTCATAAAACTTGTGGATAAGTACACTAAATTCGATATCTTAAGCAGATGGCAACCCTGTTAAAAATACTAATTCCGTCTAATGTCAGGCTTTGTCTTCGACCAAAATTCCAGCTTCGGTCGGACACTAATGCATACGGTGACCATTCGTACCGATTTTGGTGGGACAGTACCGATTTTTTGAAAATTCATCCGCTGATATTTTTTAAAAGTCGGGTCGTATAAATGTGCCGATTTTTCATATTTGTATCGATTATGTCCCGACTTTCAGTGTTTTCTTTATTAAATAAGGTTTTTATAATTATTTGCTAAGTTTTTTTTTCATAAAATGGTTCTAACTTGAATGAAGTGAAATTATAAAAAATAATGCTAATTCCCTCAAAACATGCATGGATATGAAAAATATAAGCTGTAGATTCAGTGGCAAAAATGTAAATATGGAAGAGACATTTTAGCATTCTTTGGCTATTTCCCCTTCGATAATTTAATGTTTATTATTTTTTATGAAAGTGTAGCTGCGTATTTAACAAAGACCACGCAGTTCAAAACTTCAAACATTTTAAAAAATTAGCGAACTTCGACAAACTTTCTTCAAAATGTTGAGTTAGATTTCTTAGAGTGTGCAGTTTTGTAGCCCATTCAAGTCAAAATGCAAATTTTTAAGTACCGTTGTTTTTCGTATTTTTTTTTTTTTTGTGGAAGGTGTTGCTCATTTTCTATATAACATAAAATTTTCGAACAAATACTTTGCATGGAAGAAGACGCGCGTATTTTCAAGTTGGTTTCTCTTTGTTTTGTTTTAAATAAAACTGTATTAAAAGATATTATGCCTTTTAATTCTAAAAACAAAATTGTATGTTCGGATTCGATGCATTACAAATGTCTCGATTTTCGTCCACAGAAATCTGGTCACCGTTTTAATATATATCGTCGTTTAAAGTGCAAAACCGAGTATGTGAGGTTGCATAAATTATTTTGTAGAGAGAAAAAACTCTCATATTTCAAAATGTCTCTTTTTTTATAAACCAATCGCATTTCTGGAATGTATATTTCAGGACGAATGGATAAGGATTGAGCCAAGAGCTTGTGTGAGCAAATCCAATTTTTGGCAGCGAATGTCAGTTAAGCGGTTTTGCAGAACGACGATACGCAGTTTTGTACTTTAAACGACGATATGTATGCATGTATGTAGATTAGGGTGGTCCAAAAATGCATGTGAAAAAGTTAAGTCGGAATTTGTATGCCCTCACCCCCTAGGATTGTTCTATACCGAAAAAAATATACCCTTATTTTTTTATTTTGAAATCAAACTATATTTAGAGGTCGCTCAAAGCGCCCAAAGTTTTCCATATATTTTAAATGGGGAAAAAATAACTTTTCGTAGAAATGGTATAGAATAGTTAAAAATCGATATTTGTCTACCAGAAAACTCTCTTCGTCCGCAGGAGGCTTCCACTAATAATACCCAATTGTTTATTTAACCATTTTTTCGTCGGAACTATGAAACCCACAAAAACCCCGACAAATGCAATGGGGCGACCAACAAAAAATCGTTGGTATTAAAAAATGGTATGGATTGAAAAATATTGATTTGCAAGAATTTTATACTCTTTCTATGAAAAACTTTATTTTTCCCATATAAAAATACCTGGAAATCTTTGATCGCTTTGAGCGACCTCTAAATATTTTTTGACTTCAAAATAAAAAATAGGGGCATGCTTTTTCGATATATAACAGATTTACTGTTTTCGGACCACACTAATGTAGATACTTAAACGTTGCTAAGAATGCGATATGAGTAAGCCTTACGCAAAAGACTTCTGGTTTCCTACAAAAAAAAAAAAAAAAAAAAAAAAAACCAACCACAGATAACACAGTAAAATTAAAAGCTGGATGAAATCACAACGAACGATAAGTTAAATGAATTATCATTTCGGAAGCGTCAAAGAGGTAATAAAATGGCAAAACAGAAAATTAATGAAATCAGTTAAAGCGGAATTTTTGTTTACTACGGACTTGAGTGGCGTGAATAAAGCATCGCTATAACCCTAATATAAAAATAAATGAAATGAACAGTTGGTGTTGCATTTTCAAACCGTGTGTCAATATGAATAAAGGTGTGAAGGATAAAGAAAAATATAAAAAATATTTAGAATATAAAAATAAAAGCGTAAACCTAAATTCTCTGCATTTAAATGGTATAGCTTTAAAAGTATATATGTACATATGTGTATACAAATTTGAAAAAGTGAAGAGGACTTCAACTATTTATAAGAGGCTCTTCCTCCAATTCGAGTGTTTGTTGTCACAAAAAGCAGGGGGACCATTGGCATTGGTGCTTTCTGATGCCACTACGAACGCACAGTTACACTGCGAAAAGGGTTAAGTTACAACAACTAAACATGTTCCTCTCAACTCGTGATTTGGTTATAGTTACACGATCTGATTACAGTTACCAAATCTTGTGTTGAGAGAAACATATTTGGCTGCTAAGCTGCACTGAGTAAAGAATTTCTTTCAACACAAGATTTGGTAACAATAACCAAATAGTGAAACTTATACAACATCATGTGGATACCTCAGTGGAAGATCACCATATATCGGCTACCAGTTCGAAATCGCAGTACTTTGAGAGTATTTGAGAATTTTATTGAAAAACACACTCTCTAAGAATTCGGTTCAAAAAGGTCCTATCTCGGCTGAAAATACATTGAAAATGTGCTGAGATAGGGCATTTTTGGACCGAATTCTGAGATAGCGTGTTCTTGAAAAGTTTTCTGATATGGCATGTTTTCGAACTAGCTTCCGAGATAGGTCGATCTTCCACTCAGGTGTCGATGTGTGGAAAGAAACATTTTTAAAAATAGTTGACTTAATTAAACTCCTTTATCAGTACGTAGCGAAAAACGCTATATGCAATGTTTCACAGGTGGCAGAGTTCGGTCGGTCCCGGATAGTGGCTCCAAGCTAGCGATCCCAGGTGTTTAGATCGCAATCTCTAATCTCGGTGAGACCGACTTGGTGGTGCTTGTCTTTGCCATCTTACCAACAACCAAGAGGTCAGCCATAGCTTCAAATAAAGGGCTGAAGCGTTAAGCCAAAGCAAGTGATCTTGATTTCAATGAGGTGGTCCTTGTACCCGCTATAACTTTCTGGCTAGCATTGTATTCTCTAATGCACTCCGTCAGATGAGGACCCTTAAAATACAATGAAGCGGTCGTTTTCGGAAAGAAATTCAAAATAAAGCTCAGTAGCAAAATAACCTGCAACGACTCTAGTTTGGAGAGACATGCATAAACAAGCGCTATGCAGATGGCTCTAAAACCCCTATAGGCATTGCAATAGGCGTCTAAGGACGCCCTAAGTCGCAGTTAGTCGGTTTGCATCGTATCGTATTAAGATAATTCCAATCTTCAGAGAAAGTCAGACGGTAATTATTTCTTTTGAAATCAAATCATCTGTAGTCCTTGAGTGTATTGGTCATCCAAATACCATCGCTGTATTCAATAGCATTCAGCTTCTTTGGATACCACGCCACAATGAATGACAAGAAGCTAAGGTAGTGGACAGAATAGCAAGGTAACAGCAGCCTCAACTTCCAAAGGCTTCGAACCCTTCCCTGCAGTGGGGTCACAACACGGTTAGGAAAGAGATCTGAAAGGATGTAATAGAATGCGAGAATTTATTTTGACAAACCAAAAAATTAATTGGAGGAAGGAAGGGGTGAAACCCGGAGAGATAAAAACTTCTTATTAACCTGCATAAAGCTAAACTGGGTATTGCCATAGACAGCCTCACAGGACACTGAAAACTGCACTAAAAAGAGATCTGAACATGTAAAGAATCAAGTCAAAAGACCTTTGTTGCTTTTGCGACTCGGTCAAGGGATACCACCTGTCCTACTCGTCATTAAGAGGCAGTGCCGAGGGGACGATAACAAATCTGCGCTCAATGCGGTCGAACAGACTTTACACAGACTTTATCTCCAAAAGCTCTACTAGACTGATGTTGGCGCGGAAAATGTGAAAGCTGTTTTAGAATGACTGTTTTCTTCTGGTTACGAATTCATAAGTGTAAAGCATCTCTCACGTCCAGATTTTGATAAAAACGAGCTCAAAGTGTAAGAAAATCGCTTTTTTCCAATATTTGAGAAGCTCTAGCAAGGAAATAAAAGGTGATAGAACCTACCGTTTCGGCTTAAATTAAAGGCAGAACTCTCGACTACAGTGTCCGAAATACCATCCCTGCACTTTGTCTTATGGTCATTGATAGTTATTTATTGAACAATAAAAAAATACTGGAAATTTGTGATATCAAAAAAAAAAAATACAAATGACCATAAGTGACCTTTTTTTTGACAATTTTACCCCGTTTTTCTCAAAATCTGGAGCTGATGAAAACTTTATACTTACGCATTCGTTCGTTCAGCACTGTGTTATCGATCTATATATAACTTCCTCGTGGAGCCTGGTTGGTGTTTTGGTTAGAAGCCCAACAGTCGGCTTAGCGAACTCCGCGCATATCTTTCTGAATGCATAACGAATTTGGCGTTACCGACTCCAGAATCTTGAAAGTAGCTTTATTGTTCACTATCTCAAAGATATTTTTCGCCAGCAGACACAGGATCAGACCTGTTTCAATGCCAATTATGGTTACATCTGTGAATATTGAGATGTCTTCAGCGCTTAGGACGATACCAAGGTCTGTCACTTCTGTGGGGAAAATGAACGAAACTCGATTCGAAAATTGATAACGAGATTACGACATTATATAGCCAGTCTGCTTTTCCAATTTAATTTCTATTGGAGAGATAGCAGCTGCCATTTTTGTCTTTCGATTCCAAAGTAATCATTCGATCAGGGAAGCCGTTATTGGCTATACGTTATACGTGTGAAAATATTCTTCTTATTTGTTACGAATATTCACAACCGATTCCGGGTTGGCCCGTGGCCAAGAAACATCAGCAATTTCTCCCTTCTTTACGAAGTTCTATCTCTCAGTAAGTGCAAACAAAACATTCTGGGGTCGATACTTTCATTATTTTCTTAACTATTTATCAAAAAAAAAAATATTTATGTATATACTTATTAAGAGTAAAAATAAAAGAATGTTGTTTGCATTTTTTTTCGTTTCAGCTGCTTTTGCAATTTTGATGTGCCTTTTGGCACTTACAACTGCCGCCATAGTGCCGCTTGATGACTCGGATGCAGACGAATCTGTAGCCTGCAAATATACAGATGAAGTCTGGGGCGCTGAGGATGGTACGAAATTTTACTTCTGTCTACCGGATAACAATACGGCCATTTTGCAATCATGCCCAGATAATACATTCTTCGTGCGCAATGCAACTGTTACCGGCTGCATACCCAACTCATTGATGGATCCGAATTGTGTTACTGATGTTGAAGTGGGCGCTTGCAGCGGCGAGGACCTCAAACAACCACAGCCTTGTTCTAGTAATCCGAATAAATTCTATCTTTGTACAAGTGAGGGCGCCGAACCAGTGCTATTGAATTGCCCCGATGGCAAAGCGTTCGTCAAGCAGGATGGATATTTGGGTTGCTTCGATTGGTCAAGATGGCGTGAGTTGCGTCAATGCTACACTCTTACCAACCAGATATGAGTTTGTTTGTAAAATAAAATTAAGCAAATACGAGTACATACGGAAACTTACTTGTCTGTATAAGTATACTTAGTAAAAGAAATACGTGTGAATAAATGTTTGTAAATATATGTGCTATGGAAAATATTTTTTGCTTATAATACATAGTATGTATATAGTTTATAAAAAAAATCATGTTTTCTTTACACTCCTTTTACAGCTAATCTATACATCTAAGGTATACAAAATTATATGTATATCATTAGAAAGGTATTTTGAAGATGAAGTGCAGAAAATTACTCAAATTTAGAATTAGTTTAAAATACAGCGAAAAATTCATTTCAAAATTGACACTAATACAAATACTATACATATACATGATGCGGAAATGCCTCCTAAATGTTTGCTTGAATATTGTCACTGAGTTAAATAAACTTGCTAAACAACAGTTGAGGAAAAAGATTTCTATAGATTTAGATTCATACAAAAAAAGGAAAATTAAGTATGTAGTAGAAGAATAAAGGCAAAGATTAAAAAAAGGTAAAGAAGCCTAAAGATAAAGACAAATAGGAAGGTAAATTTTATTGCATATTTAATATAATGATAAAGGTGGGGGTGAATATGTAGATGAAAAAAATAGTAAAGATAAAGATCAGGATAAAGGTAACGAAAAGGATAAAGATAAAAAATAAAACATAAATATAAAGGTTAACATACGCATAGCGATAAAAAACGATATATGAAGATAAAGATAGAGAACAAAGACACAAAGACACAAAGACACAAAGAAAAGGATTAAACTGAAGAATGATGTATTTTATGTTATTTTGTTGTATGTTATATTATGTTATGTTATTTTATGTTATATTAAGTTAAGTTATGTTTTATATTATGCTCTGTTATGTTATTTTATGTTGTGTTATGTTGTGTTGTGATATGTTATGTCATGTTATCTTATGTTATGTTTTGTTTTGTTTTGATATATTTTGTTATGTTATGTTGTTCAACGCTCAACTCACTTTATTTCATTTCTTTTCGCCTAAACTCAACTCAACTCACATACTCGTATCAAGGCTTTTTCGAAGGTTTTTCTACACTGTCCAATACTAATCCCAAACATTATGGTGGAAGTGAAATATTCGAGGTCTTCCAGATGTTTAAAGCATGCTGGGACTTCAGAGAAAGAAAAGTTATAATCTGCGTGAACCGGGTATTAACTTTCGGAACAGGCGATGGAATCAACAAAATATACAACATATCTGGTGACGTACGACAAGTATCACTTCGCAGGCCAAAACTATTGCCAGAGGTGGTGACTACTCCCCGGATGTACGCTGGACTTACGCCTGGTATAAGCAAATCGCTTGACCGCTTGACAGAAGACATGGGGAAGTATAGGGAAGTGGTCAAGATTGTTTCAAAGTCTACGTGCAAGTGAACGAAGACGCTAAAAATATATTTTTTCTAAATATATTTGTCTGCAGTTCGCAAGGTGGGGGGACCACTTTAGGTTGAAAACCTTGTGGATATAAGTACATGAGAAAATATAAAACTGGTCATAATTTTTCAAATGACTAGCAGTATACTAAGAAAATTACGTCAAGCGGAGCAACTCTGCGGATATTAACCAAGTAATACCCAATAGCAGTTCCACTGCGCACGGAAACGGAGCGGAGATGGGTTTTTAGTGCCGCGAGTCAAAAAATAAACGCCACATTTCCCGAATTTCAATTATTGTACTTTTTCCTTATTGATTACCACTAAAATCGCCCATTACTTGTTATTGTTGCTCCTGCGATTTCAAGTGCTTGAAATTAATTATTGATTTACTGATTTATGCAAACTATGGAAATTGATTTAAATGAAAGAGTTAGATAATACATAGTATTTATGCTGAAAAACACTTCAATTTTATTAATATTTGTATGTATGGTATATGCGTATATAAAAATGCGTATATCTGTGCGCATAAATTCCAGCTGAATTGATTTGCTTGCCAATTAATTAGTTTCCTCTAATACAGACGCTTATCTATTCAAGCAAATATGAGTACTCGGCTAAATAATTGCTATGTGAGGAGCGCTGAGTGGCAGATAAGAGACTAATTAATGGAAGCAATAGAAGGAGCCAGCAAGAAGTAGCTTTTTTTATAATCGGATGTGAATGGACGTCAGCCGCATACATATTTGAATCATAATTGGCTAATTTATTTCAAGTCAAGAGGTTGATTATCTTGGCATATCAGAAGCAATGAAAAATAACAAATCATTTACTAAGATAGACTGGGAATGCTATCTCGGCAAAAATAGAGTAAAAGAAATTAATTTGTTCTACGAAAAGCGCTTGGTTCAAGAAATACTGCAATGGTATTTATATCAAGAGTCAAACAGCTGGGCTTGCGGAAGTTCTTAAAAAATACCAAACCCCCCGTGGTGGGGGCAGCCGTCACGCCTTCCAGCGATTTAATTTCCATGGACTCGTAGAATTTATTTCAGATTTAATTTCTACGCTGATCTGGAAAGAATCTGCTATTAAAGTTAAAAGGTACAAATGCGTTGTTTCCAAAATTGGTGGGATTTAATATATCATGCTTGCACGATCTGGATTATAGACTGCCTTTTTTATAAAAAAAAAACCCTGAGACCCTAATGCAGTAGATTCCATCCGGTCATCGCTGGCGAAGAGATTCTTAAGGATTCGGGCAGTACTCAAAGCGCCGCGCTTGGTAACTGATTCCATAATTGTCAAACTTAACGGCTTTGACATCAATGCCCTAGCCTATGCAGATGGTATGTCCTGCTTCATTACAGGCCATTCTATGTGTTTGATTACAACTTGTTGAAGTGAGAATGGGCTGTCCGCTAACCGAACTAAAACTCTCTCTTCACTAGTCTCACGTCAACAACTTTCTGGCAAAGTGAAGAGATCCTTAGCAAGAAGTGTGATCTGCAACCTTGGAGAATCCTATGGAATTGAAAATCTATGCGTTTCTAAACCTATTTACCCTCACCTAATGTCTTTTAGGAATGCCAATGGAATGAATAGATATTCTCAACTGACCTCCCAGTGCCAGAGTTTTTCAGGCGGTAGCCCTTGCTATCTGATAGGCGATTAAAATAGTGCATTGCTATCTTCTTGGATATTCAGGCCCCGATTAAGGCACTTCACAACGTAAGTATCACGCTTAACAATAAAAAGGCAAAGTGGAAAGGCATTGGTCCTTAGAAAACTAGAAAACCATGTGCAGTGAGAAAAGAAACTAGTAGCGTAGCTTTTGTGTCGGAATCGAGAGCTTCAACTAGACAGCAACGCCAAGGAAGGTCCAAAGGGACGGCGGTGAGTGGACTCAATGTGGCGAGAAATCTCTCGAAAGACTATTACAAGTTTAGTTCCCTTCGCTCAAGGATTTTGGTGGTTAACTTAAAGCTGCAACATCCATCGCAGGAGGCAGTAGCTTTGCAAAGAAACTTATGCAACGCCATCCACACTAAAGTGGGTTCTGAGATTTTTTCCTTCGATATTCTAGGAGGTGGGTCGGAAAACCAAGGGTTTGCTATGTAACATATTTTAAGGCTGATCTACATTCCAACGTCTTGGAGGACGAAGAGGGTATCAGTGGCTTCTATGCATGCAAAAAGATGCTGAGCTGTGCCTGGATCATTTCACGGCATGATAGGAATGAATCTCTATATCACTGCTGGGCACTGCCTTGCCCGCGGCCAAAGCTCTTTTAAGCTTTCTATACATTTTGTATAGGCGCGTGTAGAGCAAAAGCTATCTCTGCACATCGCTGCTCTATATCGAAAATCAGGCTGCAAAGAGGTACTTACATGGCTCAGCACTTCTTCAAGAAATGTGGAGGAGTGAAGGCAGCTTTAGATGTGCACGCATACTGTTGTCACAGACAAGACATGGTAGAAGAAGTTCTGATTTCTCTCCAAACGCTTAAACGGACAGCTCAAGCTCGCCCTTGGTGTGGACCAAAACACAATGCTGCAAAGTATCCAGGATTAGGTATGTGTAGAGAGCATGACGTCAAGCAAACGAAGTTTCTCCTATATCTCAATATTGAGGACGCCTTTAAACTGGCTCTGACCTATGATAGGATCTATAGATGTATGTAGAACGAAAGAGGAGACAGTGGAATATATCCTCGGCGAGTGTCCTGTCCTTAGTGGACTGCGGATTAGTCTCCTCGGAGCAGAATATTTCTTCAATCTGGAATCCGCCGCCAAAATAGGGTAGGCGATCCTTCACATTGCTCCCGGTACTCAGTGATTAGCTGTGGCTAGCCAGCTTATCTAACTTAACCTAGTCCCTAGAAGCAATATGTATATATGTATGTGTGGTAAATACGAGTACATAAATACATATATTCATTGCTTAGAAGCAAACATATACTTACCTTAATAAGATAATTTTCTAAACGTTTCCTTATGAAACTTCTTTCTATTCAGATTTTCACGCGCAACTTAAATTCCAATCAACATAAATTACTGTTTACGACGAACTTCAGCATATGTACGTTTTGGTATATGTATATACTACATACATATATACGTACATATTACACATAATGTTAGGTGCAATAGTTGATTCTCACAAAAAAAATAATAAAAACTTAGAATTACAGAAACTCGAAAGAAGGCAAAGCGAACTGTTAATGATACTCAAGAAAAATAACGCCTTTGAAGAAATCCTATTAAACTTAGCGGAATGATAGTGTTGCCTAAGCATCTATCCAAGGATAGGGTGTTCGACTATTCTGATTTTTTTCCAAAACCCGTTTTCAGAGGTATTCGAAAAATGACACTGCCCGTACATAGGTTTAAAGTTAATCCACTTTTTTTCTTCCATTTTCAACCAAATAAACTGTAAACATTTTTGTATGCCTACATACATACATACATATGTATATTAATAAATGAGATGGAAAACCCGGTTTTTTCAATAGCGAAAATCCGCTTTGCTTGGTATTTAAAAAATTAATATTTAAAAAAAAAAAATGTTTATAGACTTCCAAAAATAAAAAAAAAAATTGTGAAAAGCGGCTTAATGAAACCCGGCCAATCACCCTAATACGCAGCAACAACGCAGCGCCAGCACATGAACAA